GGGACACTGAATACATTTTCTTCTCTTCCTACCTCTCTCCGGTCATTTCTCTGCTCTTTGGCTGGTCCTGCTTCTCCCTGAACCCACAAACGCTGCAGCACTTGGGAGCTTACTACAGATCTCCTCTCTTCTCTATACCAACTCTCCAGCTCCCTGATGATAGCTCCCAAATTTATATCTCTATATCTGATATCTCCCTACAATTCCAGACTGCTTTGTTCAACTGATTACCTTATGTCTTTGCTTAATAAACATTTCAAGTTTTACATGCCCTAAACGAACTCTGTACTTCCTACCCCAAAACTGAGCCAACTGCAACCTTCCCATTTCAGTTGATGGTAACTTCTTCCCAGTTCCTTGAGCCAAAAACCCTGGGAGCTCTATTGGTTCCTCTCTTCTTTTCCCACCCTCTTACTCTATCCGATAACACTATCACCTCTGTCTTCAAAACATGTCCAAAATCTAAACACTTCTACCACCTCTCCTGCTACAACCTGTCTCAGCCATCTTTACTGGCACACTGGATTTCCATACTAGCCTCCCACCTGATCTGCCTGCATCCTGCTTGGCCTTATAGTCTTTCCTCCCATTATAGGTACTGGGGATTGAACTCAGGGACACTCAGCAACTGAGCCATGTCCCCAGCCCTATTTTGTATTTTATTTAGAGACAGGGTCTCACTGAGTTGCTTAGTGCCTCACCCTTGATGAGGCTGGCTTTGAACCCTTCAATCCTCCTTCCTCAGCCTTCTGAGCCGCTGGGATTACAGGTATGTGCCCCAATGCCTGGCACCAAGTTGATGTTCTGTCTCTCTCTCTCTCTCTCTCTCTCTCTCTCTCTCTCTCTGAGATTACATTTATGTGTCTCAGCCCCAGGCCCCTGCTCCATGTTCTCTCTCTCTCTCTCTCTCTCTCTCTCTCTCTCTCTCTCGTAGATGGACATAATACCTTTATTTTTTATTTATTTATCTTTATGTGGTGCTGAGGATAGAACCCAGGGCCTCACACATGCTAGGCACACACTCTACCACTGAGCTACAGCCCCACCAAGGTGATTCTTTATGAAATCAGATTATGTCTGCTCTTGTTTAGAAGTTCCTATGGCTTACCACCTCACTCGGAATAAAATACCAAGTCCTCTCCACAGCCAGTACGCGCTGCATGACTCAGCCCTTGCTCCTCTTCAGCACTGTTTCTTGCCACTCTCTCCTTCTTCCTTCAGTTCCACACTGGCTTCCTGCTGTCCCTCAACCACCTCAAGCCTTTGCATGTGCTTCTCCCTCAGCCTGGAATATCTGTTCCCAAGATAGCCAGTTAGCTCTCCACTCCAGCGTCATCTCATCTTGGAGGCCTCCCCTCACCACCCTATATAAACAAGTGTACGTATGCAGGTGCTAGCCCCCAGATTTGTTCTTCTTCAGAGAACTTACCACCGCCAGACTACACTTATTTATTTTCAATTCTACTGAAAAAGGACCCATCGACCAGCATCACACAGGCAACTTGTTAGAAATGCAAAATCTTAAGATCTTACCTCAGACCTATGGAATCAAAGCCTGAGTTTTTACAGAATCTTCAAGTGATGTGTATGCACAGTAAAGTTTTGAAAGCTCTGGGCTAGTTTCTGATTGCCAGGAGAATGGAAGCTTTTCTTTCCTCTGAAGATCGATGTGCTCAAAACATAATGAACTAATTAATAAGTGAACAAATGAACTATGTAGCACCTGTGGAATGGGAAGCCCAGTTGATGATGTGTACAAAGAAATTGGAGAGGGCAAGAAAGAGAAAGAGATCACAGAGAAAAAGTTGTTTCCCCCATGTATTGTAATTTATTTATTTATGTGGTGCTGAGGATTGAACCTAGGATCGAACCCAGGCAAGAGATTTCCCAATATCAACAAACCCATCTTTAAAATAAATAAATAAATAAACTTTCTTTCAAAATGCAAATACATTCCTTAAATCAAGCAGCTACTCACAACTTATTGTGAATAACTTAGATGAAATAATATTCTAGCATCTAACAGAATCAGCTAAGGCAGGGGATGATACAAGAAAGCTGTAAAATTTAACAAATTCCTGTTCCCGTGCTGAGCATTGTAACAGGCAATAGGGAGGAATCGTGATATAACAAATTGGTTGGTAGTTAAGAAGACTGGAAAGCCAAATCTGAACTTTACCATTTTGCCTGAGGCCCGGATGGCAGGAGAGAATGGAGGGCGTCAGCATTCCCTGCTAAAAACAAACTTCTCCTACATCCAAAACAGAAGCGACTGCCTGCAAGCAAGGGTTCCGTGGAGATGGGAATTAGGAGAGGGAGTCTGAAGGAGGACACTGAACATGACAGCAGCTTGTTTTTTGTGTGGGAAAGAGAAGGACCTCAACTTCCTCTGATACTAAAGCCAAAGAGGCTGGGGTGGTGTGGGTGGGAGCAGGCTTGGAACACACTGCAGGGGCCCCAGGACACAAAGGTGCTAAACAACTGCAACAGTATTTTCTGTAAACAAATCTATTTTTTGCCCACTTTTCAACTAAGACAAGTGTCTGGCTTAGCCTTGCTTAGAAAACAAGGACCAGAGGAATGCAAGTTTCAGGCCAGCCTGGGCAACTTAGCAAGACTGTCTGGAAATAAGAAATCAAAAAGGTTGGGAATTTAGCTGGGTAAACCACCCCTTCCTTCAATTCCCGGTATCACAAAAAGAAAGAAAGAAGGCGGGGGAGAAAGAAGGAACAGCAATGATGCAGTGATGTAGCCTTTGCAAATGACATGTCCATAGCAAGCTAGCCCTTTAAGTGGGACCTCAATTGTCACAGGCTTGGCTTCTCACACAACTCAGCATCAGACATTCTGCAGTGGAGGACAGTGCTGAACCACAGCTATCCAACAGAAAAAGTTCAAGACTAGGTTCTTTATTGAAAGGCAAAGTCCCAGGCAAGTGGCATCTGTTTTGCCCTCCTCCTGTCATTGCTTCCTTCCCATAACCCCTGGGGATGCCTGTATGAAGCCCAAGGCTCAGCCACCCTGGGATGAAGCTGCTGCAAGTGGAAATCAGAGAACAAATGAAAGAGGGAGGAGGTAAGACAGGGAACACACTGTTTCACTCTTTCATTGAGAAACCAGTCATAAAATTAGCAGCAAACACACAGGAAATGATGGAGCTCAGTAGATCCACAGGTGGGCTGGACCACAGAAAACTGATCATCAAGGGTAACAGCAAAAAGGACATCCAAAAAGCACAGAGGAAGCAACAAATCACTCCAGTAAGAAGGGAAAAGATGAAGGACTTTGGGGAACAACATCACTTTAATGAGTTTTACCACCATTATAATCAAAGTGTCTTTCTTAGCCCTGTGTCCTCATGACCCCTATCCTAAAAGAAAAAAGGACACCAGGGCTAAAACCAGAAGATGTAGATCAGAAGTCCCCTAAGTCAGACTGTGGCTGTCTGAAAGAGGAGCCACGCAAAATCACAGAGGTTCAGAAGGGTCTGAGCACAAAGGTTGGAAGGGAGATCAGAAATGAAAAAGCGATCAGAGGAAATCATCTGATATCACGCTGAACAGGAACAATACATGAAAGCCAAATTTCACATATTACAGATGGCTGAACAGTTTTTGGTATCTACACTCAAATGAACAACATGCAAAAGTGAATATCTCATACACAATTTACAAAACTATCAAGGATCTGATACATTTGAAACAAAAACTGTCTATTTCTGAGCCAATGGATATCAAGGCATTTATATGTGTCTTACTCAGGACTTGTTCAACTATTGTGTCAAATACACACCACTGAAAACAGCTAAAGACGGTAAACAGTGAGGGCTACAATTCTTCAGCACAGTGACTACTGAACTTTGTAACCACCATAATCACAATAGAAAATCCCTTAACCATCACTTGCACACCCACAAAAATATTTCATGTCAATGACCCTTTAAGTGTTTCATGGAAAGTGGGCCTTAAATAAGCTGTTGAAGACAAGAATTATTTTTAACCTGAAACCCTCTTATCTTAAGTCAGTGTGTGAGCTCCTTCATCATTAGGAATCCTTATCTAGTTTGGGGGAGGGGCACATATAGAAAAAAAAAGAGGTCCTCATTAGCCCTTGCTAAAATCCCCAAAACTAAAGGAATGAATTCTCTGAAGTAGGAGCTCTATTCCTTGATAAACTGAATGTACCAAGAGCCCAGAATTCCATCACAAACACAAAAGCCTGCCCTTTACTAGTGCCACAGTAATCATTCTTATTTCAAAGACAATTGTTGACTGCACAGTATAAGTTTTGAAGCACTTTTGCAGAATAATTCCACCCAAACAGTTACAATAGATTTCATCAAAAAAAAAAAAAAAATCCAAGGAATTACAGTAATCTATTTCTTAGCGATTGTCCAAAGGAAGCCGAGAAGCCAAGCATGATCTCTTTTAACTAGCCTCCTGCAAACAGTGGGTTATATACTTGAACAATGCCTGAATTCCTTTGCCAGCTGCAATCAATTATTTTAGGTACCTGCGTCCCAAAAGAAAAGGTATCCACTATCCACACAGAGGGGGGTAAGGATTTGGGGGAAGCCGACATGGAATTGCTTAAAACTCTCTAGCCATTCCATGCAGTGAAGACAAAGTGGACATTCTCAACAGTAAGCCCCAAATCTAGTGGACGTCCCCACCTGAAACGTGTCCTACTAAAACACATCCCTTTGAAGGTGTTCTAAGCACTCCATGTCTTTATCGAACTGAAGCGTGCCTGCGGGGCCACTAGGTAGGATATGCAACTTGTCCAGAAAGAAGATAGGAATGCGCCTCTTTTTTTCCCTCCCCGCCCAACGGTGCCTTCCCGGGAGACAGATTTCTGACTTCCGCCGCTGTTGCAGCAGCAAAGGGCGGAGAAAATCCCAGCACCGGTGCCGCAAAGATCTCTCCAACCACCGCCACCCGCTCAGGTGCTGGCCCCGACGGGCAGCCCAGCTACTCCAGGAACCGCCGCCAAGTGCTTACCCGGGTCCGCCCGGCAATGCTCTGGAAGAGCCACCAGCAGCAGGAGTCCCAGCAGCAGCGGTGGCAACGGCAGCGGCGGCGGCGGCGCATCCTGGGACCCACGGACTCCGGGGCTCCTCACGCCCCGGCAGCGCGCGGCTCCCCAGCCGGCCTGGCCGAGCCCATGCGCCCGGTGCCGGTCCCTGGGCCCCTGCGCCGCCGGCCCAGCTTCCTTCGGGCCCCGGGGCTTCGCCTCCTGCAGAGCCATGGGGACCCTTCACACATCCAGGCCGCTGCCTCGCTCCACACCGCGCCGGGGAACCCAGCCCTCGGCGCCCCGGTCTTCACCGGGCATCTCCGGCCATGGCCCGGGCGCCGGAGGGAGGGGGCGCCGGGCGGCGCGACTTGCTCGATCGTCCTGCCTCTGCCCGTGGCGGGCTCCGGGGAGCCGCGGCTTCACCCGTGCAGGGGCCGGGGCCGGGGCCGCAGGGAGCCGCGGCTGGCGCGGGCCGGGATTCCCACGGTGCCTGTCACCGCACGCCGGCGCGCCCCGGGAAGCGAGGGTGGGACGGGCGCCGCCCGGGGCTCCCTCCCCGAGGCCGGCTCCTACAGATGGAGGGGGTGAGGCTGTGAGGATCCCGGGCTGGCGGCCGCCGGACGCGCTCGGGTCCCTCCCTCCCGCCGCCGGTGGCCGCCTCTCCGCCCCGCTGTCTCCTCTCTCGCTGGTTCGCTGGGTTCGGGGACCAGCTCCGGCTCCAGCTCTCGGGACGCGATTGCTACTGCAGCTCAGAGCGGCGCCTCATTGACAAAGAAAGCACGTAGCACCGGAGCGGGCGAGGGAGGCGAGGCAGGCGCGCGCGCGCATCCCCGCGCGGATCCACCGCGCGCCCCCCGCTCCCGCGCGCCCTGCCGAACCCCAGGTCCAGAATCGGACCCCTTCCGGCGGTTCCCAAATCGCGGAGGTCCGCATGGGGGATTTACTCCGCCTCGTTTTTCTTTTAGTCCCCCCATATAGAGGGAAGGTCGGCAGGAGAGGTCGTCTGACCCGGGAAGGGGGATATATGTGGTCATGGTCAACATGCTGAAGCGGCCAGAAAGCTCTTCAGCTTGGATTTTGGAATGGCTCTTTGTAGCGGGGCAGGAACGCTTTGTGCTGTTCTTTCACTACTTCTCTGAGGGTCGGGCGGACACCTGCATGCCGGTTTTACCCCGGAGGAGCTGAAGCGGCTGTGGCCTACTTGCAATAAAACACTGGATTAAAACACATTAGACATATTTGGTGCACCCATACAACGTGCAAAGCAGTGCACGGGGCATTAGGAAAGCCAGAGAGAAGACTTTTCCAAAAAGTCCTTCCCCCCCCCCCAAATAATAGAGTTGGGGCAGTCACTGCCCTGTGGGACAAATTGCCAGAGTGACTTTAATTGCTCTCCTGCTCTTGCCACAAGTTACCTAATTCGCAGGCACTTCATACATCCTTCAGTCAATAAATATTTATTGAGCACCCACTGTTTGCCAGCTACTATGTTAGGCGCTAGGAATAAAAGCAATAAGGAAAAACATCCCCTCACCAACCTGGTGAAGTACAAGCTCTATTCACCCAACAATATTTATTCATCCAACAATAATGCCTGTTATTTGCCAGGCCCTGTTCCAGACACTGGGCCAACAGCCATGAACAAAAGCTCTGTAAGTAATAGAATATCAAACCGGGATAAATACTATAGAGGAAAATCAATGTAAAAAAAATAAAAAGCAGGGAGGGTGTTGCAATGTTAAATAAGGTGAAAGGGGGCCTGAGAAGGTGACATTTGAGGAAAGACCTGAAGGAGGTGAGCAGACAGCCATGCTAGAAGAGCATTTCAGATAAAGAAACCAGTGAGAGCAAAAACCCTGAGGCAGAGCTGGCGGGGTGTGTTCAAGGCCCAGCAAGCCCACTAGGGGGTCTGGAAAAGTGTTTATCTCATTTATTGTGCATGTATAAGATAGAATTTCATCTAAGACACGTTTTTATCTTCTCAGAAGTCAGATGTGTCCAACAATGAGTCTCAGATTTGTTGAAGAAACTTCTTGTAGTGTCATGTCAGTGCTCAAAATTTTCAGATTTTGGAACATTTGAGATTTCAAAATTTCAGTTTAGAGATACTTGAACCAGTAAAGTTTACACAAATACTTAAAAAAAAAAAAAACAACACTGAAACACTTGTAGTACTGAGCATTTCGGATAAAGGATCCTCAATGTGCCTTGTTAAGGTTATCATTTAATCACACTCTGATGAAATTAGTTCTGCTGTTTGAGTTTGTTGTAAGAAACTTGCCTCTGGTTGAGGCAATAAAGCAAGCCACGAAACTGGTCTGAGAAACTATTGAGAAAGTCATTTCATGGCAAGGATTCAGGCAGCATCAGAAAACAAGAGTAATCCCAGAAAGAAGATGGGGGTAAGGATGGCAGGCAGTCGAAAGTCACAAGGACAGACACAGGGTTCAGAGCATTCTAAGAATCCAGGACCTCTGAGAGAGAAGCGAGCTGAGCAGAGGTGGGAAGAGGGGAAGAAAAGCATAGGTTTGCTGGGCATTAGGGGCTTGAGGCACGCCTGTAATCCCAGTTACTTCTGGAGGCTGAGGCAGGAGGATCACAAGTTCAAAGCCAGCCTCAGCAACTTACTAAGGCCCTAAGCAAGTTAGCAAGAACCTGCCTCAAAATAAAATAAAATAAAAAGAAGAAGAAGGAGGAGGAGGAGGAGGAGGGACGACTGGTGATGTAGCTCAGTGGTTAAGCACTCCTGGGTTCAATTCCTGGTACAAACACACACACACACACACACAGGCCTGGAGTGGGGCTGCTTGTTTGAAGCCTAGAACTCATATTAGAGGGAGAATAGGAGGCAGAGAGGGGAAAGAACATGGAAGCCAATGTTCTTTCATTGGGCTTTTCCTCAAAGGGAGGGAAATGGAGAGGGGACCCTCAGTAGCACCAGTTCCATACCAGTCTCTCATTTAAGGGCTGAGGACACAAAGGTGGAGATAACAAGGGAGAACATGAACCCTTTAACAGCCGTAACCAGCAACACCAGCTGACCTGGTTCACCTGAAAGGAACATAGTTGATGTCTCAGAGAAAAGACCCAGAAGGGGAGAAGTCTGTGGGTGAAGCAAGAAAGGCAAGACTCAGCCACAGTCAGGTTCTCCATGAGAGGAGGGAGATTTGGGTGGTAACAGCCACGGGGCTGAGAGATAACAAATGAGTATCTCAAAAAGTTTTCATCTGGGTTGGAAATGTGATATTCCCTTCCCCAATTTATTTATTTATTTATTTATTTATTTTGCCAGACTTCGACTAGTGATTGGGGAAATTTGTCCCTCTGATGGGCTGGCCTCAACACCAGATACCATCCTTTTTCTTGAAAAGCCCACAGACCAGTAAACAGAACAGGCATGTACATGGGTAACTGTAGAGCAACATGGTAAGCATGCAGTAGAGATCTGGGTAGGTCGTTCATCACTGTGGGTCGGTAGGGGAATGCTATTTCTGCTTAGAGGAGGAGGTGAGGTAAAGAAGAAAACATTAAAAATTGAGGCTTTCCAGGCACAGCAAATAGCCAGGTGGACAGACATGACAGTTTGCAGCCTTTTGCAGGGAAGGGAAGTACTGGTGAGGGTAGCAAGAGGGACCTTGGGAATATCCTGCTTCAAGTCAGGAGAGCTAAGTTGGAGGCAGATACAAAGAGCCAGAGATCTATCTGAAGGTTGTTCCTTATGCTCATCCATTTAGGAACAATTCTGGAAGGGTTTTCTGCTGGAGCAGGAAGCTCAATGAGATCCTTGAGAGATGAGTCCTTGAGAGAAGAGTGAGTGAATGTACACACTAAAAACTGTGCAGATTTAAATTTAGGCTGTCTACTAGCCATATAACATTGGGCAAATCACACGATCTCTGTAAATCCCATCTATAAAACTGGAATGATTGCAGCAACTCCCTCATTGGGTTGTCTTAATGATTGAATTGGAACTGTCAATCACTTAGAAGTGTACTTGACACACAGTAAGCGCTCAGTCTTATATATTATATGAGAATTGTAACCCTCTTAAATCATAAATCCTTTATTCATTTTAGTCTACTTAACTAGGGCTTGGGGACTTTCCCTGTGTGCAAACTCATTGTTACATAGCTCTAAAAAGTCAGTATCTTTCGTGCAAAGCATTTCTTTGTCAGGGAGAGGGGGATAGATCAATCTCCAGGCAGTGGTTTCAGGCCAGCCCTTGAAATTCCTACCATTACGATAGGGAGGAAATATCTGGGCCTCTACTTTCATTCTTTTTGTAATAGGCACATCTTTCTCCTGTAGTCCTAATCACATACTGACTCTCCTTGAAACTCTACGCTGAACTCCTGCTTGCATGTTACTGGGTCTGTCCTGAGCTCTAGGATTCCAACAGTGAGTGAGGTTTTGCCCCTATACTCACTGAGCTCGATTCTTACAGTCAAATGGGGAAGAGGAGTAAACACAGAGTTGTTCATCTGCCCGTAAGATGCTGATTCTGTAGGCTCCTGTCGAGGACAGTGCTGACTGAGGGGGCTGGAGAGGCAAGCAAGAGACATACACCATGCTGAGGAAGTAAAACGTATCTTTAAAAACCATGGTGGTCTACAGTGTCATGGGGTATATTTCAGGCATCTTATGGTTTCCTTATTTATTGGGGGGCAGGGGGTACCAGGGATTGAATTCAGGGGCACTCAACCACTGAGCCACATCCCCTGTCCTATTTTGTATTCTATTTAGAGACAGGGTCTCACTGAGTTGCTTAGCACCTTGCTTTTGCTGAGGCTGGCTTTGAACTCTCGATCCTCCTGTCTCAGCATCCCAAGCTGCTGGGATTACAGGCTTGCGGCACCCCACCCAGCTTATTTTTAAAAAAAGAAGAAATTTAAATATGGTTTTCCTTGCTTCCAGTGCCCTGAAGAAAACTCTGGATATAACTGGGATGGAGCACTCACTGGGTCTCACTGTCCTGGGTCTGAGAAAAGTGTTTAACATAGCCATGTGGGTGCCCTAAACACCAGAATGGCCCTAGAGAGCCAGAAGACACTGTTGAATTAATGTCGAATTAATGTCGCTGTTGAATTAATGTTGAATTAATGAGGGAAGCAGGGAGCTATGGGAAAGTTCTGAGTAGAGAAATCATGAGTGTGACTCTTGGGAAGATGGCACTGGCCTCTTAATAGAATGGGCTACAGGAGGGTGAGATAGAGGAGGTTACTGCAGAAATG